CCTCACCGTTCTCATGATCATTGCAACTCCACGAGGTGAGATCTTGCATGGAGCCCCAGGCCGAGGGATATTGACAGTTCTTTTGTGTTTCTTCCATTTGCGAATAATCGCACCAACTGTTGTCACCTTCTCACCAAGCTGCTTGGCAATTGTCTTATAGTCCATTCCAGCCTTGTATAGGTCTACAATCTTGTCCCTGACATCCTTGGAGAGCTCTTTGGTCTTGGCCATGGTGGAGAGTTTGGAATCTGATTGATTGCTTCTGTGGACAGGTGTCTTTTATACAGGTAACGAGCTGAGATTAGGAGCACTCCCTTTAAGAGTGTGCTCCTCATCTCAGCTCGTTACCTGTATAAAAGACACCTGGGAGCCAGAAATCTTTCTGTTTGAGCGGGGCTCGCATACTTATTTCCCTCATTAAAATGCAAATCAAGTTATAACATTTTTGACATGCGTTTTTCTGGATGTTTTTGTTGTTATTCTGTCTCTTACTGTTCAAATAAACCTACCTTTTAAATTATAGACTGATAATTTATTTGTCAGTGGGCAAACGTACAAAATCAGCAGGGGATCAAATACTTTTTTCCCTCACTGTAAACAGAACATGCCAATTCGTCACTAGTACAGCACACTGGTGTGTTGGAGAGCCAAGCCACAACATTTACAATCTGGGGCAGTGAGCATCTCCACTGCCAACCGCGAGTCAAGAAATGTCACATTCCTATTAAGAGGTACAGTATATAAAAAAACGTTATACAAAATGTATCAACGGTACATGAAATATACATTATTCTATCAAAAACACTTACTCTTTTTCCCCACAGTTCATTGATATTTTAAAAACATATATATTTTTTATTCGCCGACTTGGTAAGGTTAAATGCAGAATTTGGCGAGTTGGAGTTGTGCTGTGTAACAAAAATACCTGCTGTAAAATGCGCAGTGCTTTCAGTTGACATTCCGCACCGGGGAAGCTTTTGAGAAGTCGCACAACCTGCAGGAAAAATAGAGCGAGTCTTAAGTTATTGAGCGACTGGGTTAGTGGGTGCGAGCGCAGATGGAAATGGGTAAGCGGATACCGCATCACATGAATTGAACTTCAGGATTTTTTAGTAACGCTTTTATGGATCGATATAATTTCAATCAAATGCCATTGAGCGTTACATCAAGTCCCTTAGCAAAAGCGCAACTCATTCAAAACATGCAATCGCACCATGTCATAAAAAAAAACATTATTTTCGTGAGAGATTGGGCCACAAGCATGGTGGGTTTGCCACAAAATTAAACTGCCTTGGTACATAGATGCCAGTGGGCTGTTAACTTTTTAATCAATAAAAAAACTTAATTACTAAAATCCCGCTGTAAATCCACTAGTCGAATACAAATCTGGCCATTTGAATGCGTTGTCTCCTAGTGCACAAGGGAAAACGTGTGTTTGTTCCATCTGTGTTTCCTTTATTCTTGTCAATCACCTACCTGCTCTCCGGAAAAAAATCCCTGCACGCACGCCACAGCCTTCAGCTTGTGCTCCGCTAAAAGCCCCTGTATGGCAAAAGAGAGGGAGAGCAAGCAACCACAGACTTTGTTGACATGTGAGCAAGCAATATTCCAGCGTTGATTTTCGCAGTTGTACTCTACAGCTCTCCAATGTGTTTTTGGGGCTGTTAATGTGCGTTGTGCAGTACGACGTCCGATGTTTGAATCCATATTCCGCGAGCTTCTTCGGGAAGCATGATATCTGACGTTTCGCTCGTTTATCATGCAGAACACTCGAAAACGCATCTGAGCGTGGTGTAAGCAGGAAGAAAAGCAGTGCACATAGCAAACCAAATAACGGGGGGGGGGGGGGGGGGGGTTACGTACATTAGGAATCTCCAAACTGCATGCGACTGGGCAATATGAAGACAACTGATGATTGAGTTAAACTTCCTTATGCAAATTAAACATGCACCAAATTGTTTATCGATTATTTCAAATAAAGCAGCATTACGCATCGATTTCCTTTACGGATATGGAGCAGGTGAAGCGCAATGGATGATGCCGACGATAAAAAAAAACGATATCACAAAACAGACTGCACACAAACGTCAGATTAAACAGAATTAAGCACAATAAAGTCAAGTCGAAACAGAAATCACAAAGGGGCCGTCCATAAATGACGTCACGCGATTTTGGACGCTTTTTTACCCCCCCCTCGTCACACGGCGTCACAAAAAGTTAGACCCCCCCCCTCAAATATGACGTCACAAAGCTCTGCCCCCCCCCCACCCCCAAAAAATAAAACATGCTTCAAATCGCTTTAAACTATTGTCATTGTAGTGCGTATTTAATGTGCCGCTGCACTCTGATATTGTAGAAAACATTTATTAAAAAGTCTATTTAATTAAGTAGAACGTGTTGTCTATATTTATTTAAAGTTGCGCATTTTAATGTGACGTAACATTTCTCAACCCCCCCCCCCTCGTCACACATCGTCACATTAGTTTGACCCCCCCCTCCCCCTAGGTGAGTGACGTCATTTATGGACGGCCCCAGAGCAGATATGACAAGACACCACGAAGACAAAACAGTACATATACCATATAGTGCAATGTGAACACAGTACAGACCAGTGCAACTGGGAATATACAAGCGCAGTCATCACCATCATAAGCTATTGTCAATCCACTGCTGGATGAATGCTTCCCCACGCAGTCGCCATCCCTGGCGATCCGGAGGTGCTGGGTGGATGAAAGTGGGTACAAGTCGTGGATGGAAGTGGGTACAAGTCGTACAACAGTTGATTGGTGCTGCATTGCCCCAAACGTATACAGGGTGTTCCAGATTTCTTGTGACCTCCCAATTCATTCTCGAAAACTGAATATTAAAAAAAGGTTTATTTAAAACAAATGAATATGCAAATTAAAAACCATGTTAGGGGTCAATTAATTGGGGGGGGGGGGTCACAACATATTTAGACCACCATGTACATCAACTCGGTTGATCCACCTTACTGTGGATAAGCCAGTGTGTGCCTTAAGCTGGCTTAATGAAGCACAACACGTACAGTTGTCAGTGATCATCTACAGGGCGGTCCAGATGTCTTGTGACCCCCCCCCCCATTTAAGTCTCTAAAACGTAACATTTAATAATAGGGCTTTTCCCCTTTTTTCCAGCAACAAAACTGAAACCTTTTTACAAGGATTCATGTCTGCATTAACCACAATACCTGCAGTCAAAATGCAAACAAAAAACATACTATGATAATATATGCATTGTCCTTGAAACTGATTGGTCCACACCAAGGGACGGCTTTCTTTTGAGCCTCGATCCAAGAAAAAAGGGGGAAAACCCTATTATTACATTTTGGTACTGGCAAAGGAGGTCTAATGATGTAGATGCTCACCCCGAGCCCTCATTACTTTGATAGTGCATTGTCTTTGAGCTGTGTGACGCCTTCTGGCGTCATGTGGTCGAGCACCAATTGGGTCGAGGCTCAAAAGAAAGTCGTCCCTTGGTGTGGACCAATCAGTTTCAAGGACAATGCATATATTATCATAGTATGTTTTTTGTTTGCATTTTGACTGCAGGTATTGTGGTTAATGCAGACATGAATCCTTGTGAAAAGGTTTCAGTTTTGTTGCCAGAAAAAAGGGGAAAAACCCTATTATTACATTTTGATACTGGCAAAGGAGGTCTAATGATGTAAACGTAACATTTGTTTAGTACGGTTTATATAAAACAGGAATGACTATGCAAAGGGTAAAACAATAGGGGTCAAGTAATTGGGGGTCACGGGACATCTTGACCATCCTGTACATAACTCGGTTTATCCACATCACTCTGAATTAGCAAGTGCCTTAAGCTGGCTCAATGAGCACAACATGTACATCGGTACTGATCAAGGCATGGTCCATTGTCAGCGATCATCAACAACAACATCGCATCAACAACAGCTGGTGGGAAAGAACACACGATGTGATTACGTCGCTACGAAGCCCCCTCGGCCGACGTGGTGGTTATATGCCGTGAACGAGTTCTCAAATCCCAACAGTGCTACGATTACATGTAAGCATTAAAACTATTTAACAACACAAAATATTATATAACGAGTTCAACTGTCGAGATGGGAAGCGATGATATAACCTCGCGTGGCGGTAGGTGCTGTGGTGGATTATTTACAAGAGGACTGCGAGAGAAGGCGGCGGCTAGGGGAGGCCTTCAAGCCAGCAGTGGATAAGACCGCGACGATGGTGAAAGGATAGCAGCAGTCGTGAGACACGACCATTAGGGTTCCTTGCCTTTTTCACTTCGTCCAGGACGATCTCGTATTTAGTGGAATCCATCGCTTGGGTGGCTTTTAAAGCTTAAACATTACAACACTGCGTGTTTTTTTTTAAATACGATACTGTTAACAATGTCGAATATAACCCCCCCTTCACCACCACCAACCACCACCTAGCGCGCCAGCCACAGTAGGAGAAACTCTGTGGGACTCGGTGGAAACGATCCCAAAAAAAAAGAAAAACCCCCCTCAGGTTTTTAATGTCAAAATCCACGCTCGCACCACGCGACAAACGCCGAACGTGCACATATCCCCGGACGGGTGCGGACAAATAACGCCACTTTTTTTTAAAAAAAACAACAACTGTGCAACCTTGTTGCAATGTTAAGCGCGAGACGCGCTATCGCGCGGTTCGCGATACGGGGGAGCCGAGGGGGATTTTCAAACGACGCTGCAACGACGGCGAGACAACGCGCCAGCTCGAGCCGCGCTCGCGAACGAGTGGGGCTGAGGCCCGCGGCGGCCATCTTTGTCAGGGAAAGTCGTTTCACCCTTGCCCCCTCCTTACCCACCTGCCCCTTTTCCTACCCCCCCCCCCCCCCCTTTTTCTACCCCACCCCCTTCCCACCCCCACGTTCTAACCCACGTAACTGCAATTTGGCCGTGACGTCGTCCGCTCGGGGCGGGGCGGTGAATCGCCCCGCCCCACCCCGCCCCCCCCCCCCCTCGCGTTTAGCCGAAGCCGTTCCCCTTACCTAAGATGGCCGACACGATGCCCGTGTTAAAACTCCTGCATCGTTAACTATTAACGTTAGCCTCGCGTTACGTTTTGTATTTTACACTTGCCCTCAAGGTATTATATATTTTTTTTGTGTCACGGCCCTGTTTAAATAAAGAATGACGAGCCGGCACTTCTTCCGAGTTCTAAGGGCGTCGTGTGATTCAATTGCTAAAAGCGGGCACTTTAATTTATTATTTTTGCCTTGATTTAAACAAGGAAGTGAGCGTCCGTTTTACGTCTTGGCATTAAGAATTAAGGTAAGGGGGGTGTCTTTAATGTTCATCACTGCATTGTCACATCAACAAAACTTGATTAGTCTTGTTGTTAACCAGCATTTCTGTTTGTTGGTAGCGATTTAGGATTGCTTCGCTTGACGCCGCGTGATGGTTCTGCACAATTATTTTAAGGACCCTGCATTGTACTCGTTGCAAACGGAGTTTAGGGTTTTTTGTTTTTATTTGCCGTTGCTGTTCTCAAGTACCACGGGATTTAAAGATGTTAAATTTGCCGGGAAACTGACGTTGTACGGAGAACTTCTTACGTGTGCCGTACGTAGCCAACCGCGACAATCGGAGGTGCGGTGGAAGAACGGCAAACTAAGCACATCAGCATCAGTGTAGCAGATGAGGAACAAACCTTTAAAACTTTTTTACGTGATTAAGCGATACATCTGCAATGTGTATGCAACTTTGGGTTGGACTGTGGACAACATACTCTCTGGGTCTTTCGGTAAAGTCACGTAGGTGTAAAATATAAAAAAAAATCACGACGTTTCGATTGCAACAATCTATCATCAGGTGGGAAAACCACAGCAAGAAAAACAATTGCTGAATCTTCAGCAGAAAAAAATTGCTGAATCTTCAGCAAAAATTGCTGAATCTTCAGCAATTTTTTTCTTGCTGATTGCTTTGTGTTGCAATCGAAACGTCGTGATTTATTTTATTACTGGTAGGAACCTCCTGGTTACACCAACCCACAGGGGATTATTGTGTCCGTCCGTCGGTCGTGCATCCAAAGATGGGAGGGGTGGGGCTGGGTGGAGAGGGGAGGGTGGGGTGGGGCTGGGTAGGGGGTGGGAGGGGTGGGGCTGGGTGGGGAGGGAGGGTGGGCAGGGGTTGGGTGGGGAGGGGCTGGGTGGTGCTGGGTGGGCCTTGGTGGGGAGGGGCTGGTCACCCCGTGGTGCCCTTATAAAACTCAACGTTTAACCAACTCACGCCGGCTTGTGCCCACCCTCACAGTCGGGCATATTTGCGGAATACACCACGTGGTGGTGCCGTTGACCCTGGCCATTGACCGAGCAACCCATCGTTCCTACCAGCTCCCTCCGCAGGAATGTGTTTGCAACCTCCACCGCATTACCCCTCTCCAATCCCTAGCTCACCCGAGCCGCTTGCTAGACCCTGGTCCATTTCGATTTGAAGCTTTTGTCGTGACTGCAGGGATTCATATTCTTGGTTCTTTCGGTAAAGTCACGTAGAAGGGAAATAATAAAATAATTACTTCATTATGTTTTATTTTATTATTTCCCTTCTACGTTACTTTACCGAAAGAACCAAGAATATGAAACCCTGGTCCATGTTTGTGTCACCCCCCCAATCCTCATTTGCTGGCATTTCATCCGGAAAATCTCAAACTACCCAACTGGTTAAAAACGCTGCAACCCAGATTCCTTTCCCCGAACCAAATATCGCCCCCGCGTCCTCCCTGACCTCAATGGCTTTCCCCACCCACGATCATTCACTAACAATCCACGGGCCTTGTCCCTCACGACTTCTCCCATCTCTCTACCCATCTTCTCTACGCATCGTGTCCAGCCTGCTCCCGCGGCTCCATTGGCAGCTGTTGCACACTCGAAATGAAGGACGTGGGCAAGTGCTCCAAATGGAGGGCAAACACATTTATTGTGGTCAATCTGTAAAAATGCAACAGGACGTGTGTTACACAGCAATCCTCAACCGAGTCGCCATTAAGGAGCCGTTCATAAATGACGTCACGCACCTGGGGGGGGGGGGGGAGTCAGACATTTGTGACGATGCGTGACGAGGGGGGGAAGGGTTTGAGAAATGTGACGTCACATCAAAATGCGCAACTTAAAAAAATATGGACAACACGTTCTACTTAATTAAATAGACTTTTTAATAAATGTTTTCTCCTACAACATCAGAGTGCAGTGCCACATTAAATACGCACTACAATGACAATAGTTTAAAGAGATTTGAAGCATGTTTTATATATTTTTTTTGGAGGGGGCAGGGGGGGGGAGAGCTTTGTGACGTCATATTTGAGGGGGGTCTGACTTTTAGTGACGATGGGGGGGGGGGGTCAAAAATTGTCCAAAATCGCGTGACGTCATTTATGAACGGCCCCTAACCATGTGACTGGTGTACAAGTTTACTCTACGTTTCTCTTAAACCCAATTCTACTGCTGATAAACAATCTTCATCTTTGACAGTAACCTTTGCACTTCACCTTTGGAATATTACTTTAATCCTAAGCTGTATGTCTATCTTTCAGTTTCAGTTTATTTTCAGTTTATTTATTTTGGTATAGCCCTGTGAGCCATTCGGCTCTTGAATCGGGTGCAACCGCAACAAACAAAAAAACAAAAACACGAACAAGAAAACATCTTAAAGTGACTATGTGACTGTGCAAACAGAAAATCCATGAAAAAAAACAGCAAAATATTCCTGAAAAAAGCACCGTACACCAACGCTGTGTGCAAAAAATCCCAGTGGGATGCAAGTCAAACAACAACAACAACCACAAGAAAACTTAGATTAAGGCCATAAGTGTAACTCCGTACTACAACAAAACAAACATGTCCAAACCAAAAAACTTTTTCGAAATCACCAAAAAATAAAGCCATAATTACAACGTAACAGTGATCATAGGGACTGTGACCGAATTTTTACAATAAACTGCATAAATAACATGTAACACCAAATCCTAGAGCCATAGCTGGCTGCATGAGTTACTCAACAACAGAAGCATCATTCGGAGTATAAAATTTTTCAATGCACCTTTAAGATCAGCACGCTAAATCAAAATACATATAATACTTTGCAGCGTCATCCGGAGCGAAACATTTTATTTTATTTTACGCCAATGCATAGCAGTGGCAGCTAGGAGTGTACAACTCCTCTAGAGCAGTTTTGAGAGAAGATCTCATTGGTAGTTATTTAAGTTGCAGTTTATTTGCAATATCTTTCCAGACTCTAGGGGCGTCAATAGCAAAGGCCCTTCCTCCAGTTTTGTACGGCAATAGGAAATGTGAAGCCGTTTAATGAGTGAAGACCTAAGGTCAAATTTGTTCTTTGAAACAGAGAGGAGATCCAGCAGGTAGTCTGCGGATTTTTTTGTAAGTACATCGTGAATAAATAAAATCTGGTGCACAAGCCGTCGAATATGAATAGATGTTAAGTTTGACCCAATGTAGAGATCACAGTGTTGAGTCCTATATGGGCAGTTCAATGTAAATCTTAAGGCCAAGTGATAGATGGAATCAAGCTTCTTCAGTACAGTACTTGGGGCTGATTTATACACGATGTCACAGTAGTCAAGTAGAGGCAGTATGGTAGCTTTTATAAATTCCAAACGGAACATTGGGGGAAGCAGTGCTTGTGTCGATACAGAAAACCAATTTTTATTTGTTTTTTTACCAATATAATCAATGTGATCTTCAGAATTCAGTTTTGAATCCAGGATGACCCCAAGATACTTACAGATCTTGACTTGCTCTATTTGATAATTATTTAAGGAATGTAATTGTGGAAAAATAACTTCCTGCTTTAGTCCTGGTGGGAAGCATAGCACCTTGGTTTTGGAGGTATTCAGGACTAGTTTAAGAGCAACTAGCTGATGTTGTAGTTTGTTGAAATCACCCTGGAGCTTAGCAATCACGTCATCCGGAGAGCGGCCAGCAGTAATCAGTATCGTGTCATCTGCAAAAAGATTTACCCTGGAATGGTCCAGGTCAGTGCCCAAGTCATTGACATAAAGAGAGAACAATAGGGGGCCGAGGATGGAACCCTGTGGAACCCCTTTAGTTATCTTAACACTGTTTGACCTCCAACCATCTTTGAATACAGTTTGAGTGCGAGGCAACTTAGTTTACTAAGCAGGGTGTTGTGGTCTACTGTATCAAAAGCTTTGGACAGGTCTAGAAAAAGACAGGCACAGTACTGCTTATTATCAAGGCTACTGTAAATGTGATTCAGAGAGTAATGCAGCAGATGTGGTGCTGTATTTTTTTCGGAACCCAGATTGTTTTAGATGTAGTAGATTGTCGGTGGACAGGAAACTGCTAATTTGGTAGGTCAATAATTTTCCAAAAAAATCAACGGGGACAAAATTGAGATGATAGGTCGGTAGTTATTTGGATTATCTTTAGGGCCCCCTTTGTGAAGTGGATGGACATAGGAATGTTTCCATTCAAGAGGAGCTGATGCTTCTTTGATGGACAGGTTGAAAATATGGGCTATAGGTTTGTATGGTGACCAACAGTAGAGCAAAGACGGGAATACTATCTGCTCCGGTAGAGGAGGACCCTTTGAGGTAGGACAGTTGTTTCAGAACATTACTTTCGTGGATTGGCTGGAAACTAAATTCGTTTTATGTTTGGACAGGGGTGTGGGAATTTGCATGAGCAGGGGTGACTCCCAATACATTATCAAAAAGATTACCAGCTTCAGAAAAATTAAGGTTAAAATTGTCAACTATTTTTTTGGGATCTGAAAAATATTTCCCATTTCGGTTAAGCTCAGCGGGCAGATTGTCTGTTTTGGATGCCTTTTCGATACATTTGATTGTTTTCCAGAAAATCCTGGCATTTCCATGTGATTCCAGAAGAGTGGAGGAAAAGTAGGCATTTTTTGCATGCCGTATTTTTTTTACGCATCTATTTCTTAAAATCCTGTTTTCTAGCCAGTCATTGACCAAATTACTTCTCTGAGCACATGCCCAAGCCTTGTCCCTAGTTTTCATGAGCTTTGTAATCAAAGGCTCAAACCATGGTGGGCGGTTGCCTTTAGTTTTAAATCTAACCAATGGAGCATGTATGTTAAGAATTTGGAGAAACATGTACCTGAAGGTCTCCCAAGCCGTAGTCAGGTTGGGGATATCGCAGACCTTGTCAATATTCGAGTGAAGCACATCATTAGTAAATGCCTGATTGCTGAAGTGTCTCATAGAGTGCTTCTCAACCAATTTAGGGGGGGCTTTGGGTCTGGCTGATGATCTCACCCCAAAGATGAAGGAGTGATCACTAAGGTTATTACCCAGAACACCAGTCAGTGTGAAATTGTGAGGGGCATTTGTCAATAGGACGTCAAGCAGAGATGACTGTCCCGGATTTTTTAGGTTGGGTCTTGTGGGGACATTTATTAATTGAAACAGATTACATTCATCTGCAAAATTTGTGGCCACGGCCGGCGGGTTTAGCCAATTCCAATTTAGATCACCCACTAAAACTATTTCACCTTTATGGAGGCCCCCAAAAAGCTCTCTCAGTGCAGATGCAGCTTCAATATCCTTCCCATTAGCCGGTCGATAGCAGCACACTACCAATCTGTTTACAAGCGGAAAAGAAAAAATATATATACATGTAGGCCGAGCGCAAGAAAACGTCCTGCTGCACTCGTCACACATGCACTGCTTCTCGCCCATGTGCTAGGGTTGAACAGCGCCCCCCCCCCAGACAGGGACAGCAGATTCTTGGCTGTTGTGTGCTCGGCTGAACCGCTTGCACCACCTCCTTTCCCCGCCGCAGGATGGTGCTCGAGCTAGCCCTCCTTGAGCTCAGCCCACGACTGGAATGTCGTTTCTTGGCCTCTCGTGTCTCTGCTGCCCGACCAGACGGCCCCACTGAAGCCCACACAGGGGACTCTTCATTCACGACCCTTGGCCGTCTTGACGATCTCCGTGAAGTTTTCCAGGAACATAGCTTGGGGTCCGTGGCAATGTTGCCTTGGCAGGAACACAGCTTGGGGTCCGTGGCAATGTTGCCTTGGCAGGAACACAGCTTGGGGTCCGTGGCAATGTTGCCTTGGCAGGAACACAGCTTGGGGTCCGTAGCAAACCATCAACTTATATCGGTATCTTACATCCATTGCCTATACTGTATGTGTACAATATACGGACTGTACTTGTCACTATTGTACAACGTACATGTGTTCTAGTCTCCATAGCATTGCAAGTAGTCATACTGTGGGTGCATAAGCATGGTTATAGAATAAACAGTATTAGGGTTAGAGAATTATACAAGTAGTAACTACAGCACGTCATCCTTTACAGTGCACAGTGCTAAACCCCCTCCTATTGAATATATCACAAACTAACAATTAAAAGCCAAGCTTGACGTCGAGCACAAGTCTAGAACATTTATATAACGATTAAAAACAACCTTTGGGTCCTTTCCCTGTAGAATGCAAGAGCACGTGTCACACAGCGATCCTCAACCGAGTCACCATTAACCACGTGACTGGTGTACAAGTCCTGTTAATCAATAACCCTGCCAGCCACCCACAGGCCCAACTCAGTTATCGCATGCTGGTGTACACACGTGCATTGATGTACTGCACAGCACATACGGCCTTTGACAAAACCACACTTTACTCCCTTGCTGCACGAGGAAATAATTAAAAGAGTGGTCCATTCCTAATGTGCCACACAGCCTTCTTTGCTTCAAAGATCCGTCGGTCCACCATTGGTGGCCCTTCTTAATTTGGGGGGAGTAATTTATGAAATCTGGCATTGTCTACGTATAATTATCAAATGTGTATGTATTTTGTACCGACAGCCAGAAGCCATGAGAAAATGTATGACTCTGACAATGAGTCTCACCCTCGTGGGAATCCTCGTGGTGTTGAAGGTAATAATCTACAGCCTCAGCCATCACCACTGTTGACTGGCCATTTCCTTCACAAAGATGAACATGAATCCATTTTGTGAACATGTAATACCACGCGAACACTTGCACTGCATACACACGTGGTCCACTAGAACTTTCTAGTAGTTTAAATTAATCTGTTCCACTCTCTTACAAACGTGCTGCTGAATGAGAGACTTTCCATGCCTTGTCGAGTGTTATTTCACCACACTTCACGTCTATCGGTGCTGGTTGGTGAAGGTGGGGAGAGCATAGATGTGGAGGCGTATACATCCATTACAAGTATGGACTTTGCTGCACTGCCTCCTGCTGCCGACCACAAATCACGTGATTATTATGCTTGTTTTCCCAAGAAAGGCTAACAGACTCTCAAGACTTGCTTTTGGCAGGGTTCTGTCAAGTTTTTGCAGAAGGGAGCAAAAGTTGCCGTGTGTAACACCAATTGAGAAATATGCCCGTAATTTTTCGTCATTGGGACGTTTTGCATATTCCATTAACATTCGATGTTTTTTCAGCTATGAGAAGAAACCAGAAAACCCAGAGGAAACTCATGTAGAACTTACTAACTGCACACAGAAAGGTGCCCGAGTCAGAAATCAAACTCAGGATCTCCTTGCAACTGTTAACACTGTGCCAACCTGTATTGCAATGCAGAATCTGCCCGATGTCATTATTTGAAAACCAAGCATGGGTTAGTCTGGATAATGCTTGGATTAATGACCAGCTTACACGAAAGTTATAGGCACCAGATACATTACACAAAGCTAAGATGAGGACGAAACAGTTCCTGAATGCAGCATGTTTGCCATTTACCTGAAATGTAAATACTACATATAGAATTTAATTATCATTATCCTTCCATGTGTGATAACATGAATTCCTCTTTTATTGCTTCAATTTAAATGTATCCTTATGGTCATGATACGCAAGTAGCGATTATTGTGCTTGAGAATCAGACCATGAGTTAGTACATATATATTAACCATTGGAATAGCATTTTATAGGGCACCTGAAAGCCAATTTAAAATGTTTTTTTTCTTCAATTATTAAATACTACAACTTTCAGTTGACAGCCGGGCACACAAAATAAATGTTCACCTGCAAGATCAGAGATGAGTGTTTTTTGGGTTGCCTCTGTTCAATGGGATTCTAAATTGGTACACCACAGTCAATTGGCAGGTCATGTGTGGTGAGGTAAAATTTGGCTATACCAAGATATCTGGCCTGCGTGGAAGAATAGCAAACTATGTTCTAAAGAAGTACAGTACTCTTTGTAGTGGATGCTGTTTTATCATCAGTGGCATGAGTAACCAATTGCAGGGTGACATCTTTACCCACTACATTCCCTGAGCATGGTCACAACTGTTGGCTGTCCTTTGTAGATGTCGCTTCTGCTGAGGCACCGGGAGGCATGGTCATATCATCTCAGTGGCGAGGGCTTCCTCTACAAGCTTGACCCCACGTGGCCACACTACCCGGAGCACTTCAGCGGGCAGGTGTTTGCTACAGCGGTGGATGGCGCCACTGGACGGGTGTATGTCGCGCAGGTAAGTGGATAAAATCGTTTGGGCTACCCACGATATAGTAGGTAGCGAAAACACAGCAATGTGGCAGTGGAGAAGGCAGTTGGCACATCTGCCTGTCATCTCAGTCCACCAACACAGAATACTGCAAGATCTGACCATGTCTGTCCAGTGCTTGCCGAGCTGCATTGAGCTTTCGGTTGCTGAACGAATACGTTATAAGATAGCACTCATTTAACACAAAGTGCTGGGCACACATGAACCACAATACCTTGCTGATCTCGTCAAGGAGCATAAACCATCACGTAAACTCTGGCCATCCTCGCAGCGGATTTTGGCTAACCATCGAACAAATACGGTCACCGCATCTGACACTTTCAGATCTGCAATTGGTCTGGAACGCTCTTTCCATATGAGGAAGCCATTGGAGCCATACAATTTTAAATCTAGATTTAAGACTAATTTCTTTACAGCTGATATTTTTGTCTAGTTGTCCTTTCCTCACACCTCCGATTTGCACAGTTGGCTACCTATGGTGCGAAAGAAGTTAAACATGCATACACACCTGGGGCCTGTCCAATGGACCTCTTGCCAACAAGCCATTGGTGCTTCATGTAACAACATATTTATATTTACATTGCACTAACCCATAACTCTATACAGTCAAATGTTGCATATCCATACTTGCTGGAGACTTGAGGTTTAGGCGAATGTGAAAAAGTTGTACATGTGCACATTATAGAAAATCACAGTTGCATCCTGCTCAAATAAGTTCACGGATAAAATAAAACCCAAACTGCTCTGTATTTTATAAGTTAACAAATGTATGCAAGCATTAACTGCGTGTCAAAATGTCAAATTTGTGGACGTCTATAGAAAATGAGTCACATATGCACAAATACTGCACTGGCTGTGGGCAGTTAATTGGTCATGGCAGATAAGTCACAGCTATGGAACATTGCTATACAAGCATTCTGTATTTTCGCATGTTTGTGTGTAGAGGGGAGACAATGTGCCAAAAATGCTGGTGTTCTCAGAGTCTGGGTCATTCCTTGGGTCCTGGAACTCGTCGGCCCTTGAGATGCCCCACGGCATCTTCTTCCTGCAATCCGCGAACAACTCCAATATCTGGGTCACAGACGTCGGCACGGGTAGCACACCCCATCACCATTAATAATTGCCCGATTAGCAAACTTAGCGAGCTCAAAGGAGAGGGCATGTTTGATTCATTCTTACTGTGATAATGAACCTGTATAATATATAAATGTGTCATTAATACCTGCCACCACCCGACACAGCCAACTAGTAAGGGTTGTCACGTAAACAGAACATGCAAATTCGTCACGAGTACAGCACACCAGTGTGTTGTAGAGCCAAGCCACAACATTTACAAACAGAGTACGACATTTCACCAGTAATTACAACTAGCTTCATCAGGCGACAGCCAAATTTGTGGAGAAGTCTTACTGTTTTGTTCCTTATATAAAGGCGTAGATGTGTTGACCACCCTTCTTGCACTCTTTGAATCTCTGCATCTTTTGAGGAACGCCAGTTAAGACAACAGCTTAATTCGGAGTTTGTCCAGTTTTCTGGTTTGAAGAAAAGTAACCTCCCCATAGAGGTTAGTCAGTTTAACACGTAGGCTTTCATGACCAATATCATCCATAAGAGGTTTTTGGATTCTTCCATCCACCGAACAGCCTCGAACCTCGCTCGAGGCATGCCTTATTACCTCTAATCCCCGCTGACCCCGCTCCTTCCTCCATCGCTCCTCCCCTCGGCCCATCCGATCAATTCCAGTTCCCTAACATCTGTTTGCCCATCCTGTCCACGTGCTTAACCCGAGGCGGGGTGACTTGTCCTCACGTGCCCCTATACCTCATCCCGGTCCGTCACGCGCATGGTACTGTACCCCGCTAGTTATCTCCACAACACACACACAGCGCAAAGCGCCGTAGTGATCCGAATAACGTCACTACATATGATACCGACATGAGACGTCCCTATCTGGCTTGGGCCCAAGCAGGGCCAGGGGTGGGGCAAATTACGCTGTTGTTACCTGTGACGTCATTACTCGAATACAGCTTCACCGCAGCATCTGCATGCGTCTCGACTTGTTCATTGCTTGTGACGTCAACGACGCGGCTCAGATTTTGCATTGGACAAACAACCCGGGCACTCCCCGAGGTGCGCCAGCCTAGCTCGGCACAGCCCCAGCACAACGCGATTGTTGACCGCCACTGCCATGCGCGAATGCGTTCAAATCTAGTCCGGTCCGTTGTCTTGACTGTGGCACTGCAAACCCCTTTGCCGACAGGTGAATGGGGCCACTCGATAAAGAGGTTCTCCCCAGACGGGAACCTGCTCGAGGTGCTAGGCACGCCGGGCAAGGCTGGCGCCAGCTTCACACCACTGCAGTTCGACCAGCCGGCAGAGGTGATTGTGGGGCCGCGAGGGGAGATGTACGTCGCCGATGGAGACGGTGGCCTTAACAACCGCGTCTTCAAGCTCCAGTCTGGTGCGTGAGAGCTATTTTGTTCTTCTGTAGCTACCTCTCACTTCGCATTGAACCCTTTAATAGATGCCATTTTCAAGTCTCAATGGAGACTGTCTTCAAGTGGAGGCACACTCAATTGACTGTACTGCCAGCTTACATTTAATTCTATTTTTTACCTTGTTTTTCCTCCAAAATATACTAAATTTTGTAACGTTATCTACGTCATGTTGCATTGAGGCAAATACGTTTCCATTGGATATTACCAGACACATTTAATGTAACATCAATTTTGGAGAACAGCCCCTATAAGATGAGATTAAGGAACTACTTCTAAAGTAAATTTGTTAGGAATCTTACCCAGTAGGTGGAATGCCTTTCATATTCCATGTGTTTCTCACATGGCAATGAAACCAAGTTATCTGGAACACAAAGTTTAATTTGACGGTACTTTGTGAGTCAAGCTGAGACCATCACCACGTTCCATTTGAGAACCCAGTTTAAGTGAAAGTGGATGAAACCTGCCTGCCAATCCAATAAAGGCTGGAAGCCACTTAGTAACATTGCATTTGCTGAATTGCCTTCAGCTGCTGTCATATGAATGGATCCCTGATAATTTTAACTTTGATTACAATATGAAATACAATTGATTTCCTTTTTAGCTGTAAGCCTCCAACTGCACTTGATCAGATTGGCGCATGGTGACTCATTTTTTCCATTGACAGACCGGACCTTGGAGTGGGTGCACGGAGAAAAGGGGAGTGGAAAAGCCCAGTTTTACATCCCACACAGCTTGTGCCTCGACAGCTTTGGCAGGGTCAGTTTACCGATCAAGAAATTGACCTGTTGCTCCTGAGAGTATCGAATATAATAGTAGCAGCAACAGCAGAAACACACGGATGTAAGAGATTAATGATCAGAAAATGCCTGCAGTGAATCTGTGAGAAGGCATGTCAATACCTTGTTTGCAAGCGATTAGAATAGATTCCTACATGTACGATTCATGCATAAATTGTTACGTGTAAGAAATAATTATTTTGAATGTTAGCCAAGTGTATACAAATCATACGGTGTTAAAATGTTGCTGCCTTTGGCCATGTCACCCGGAGTGCTCCCGATCTCATCAGATCTCAAAAGCCAACTCTGGATTTTGAGCCTGGATAGTGAATGGGCAACCACCATGCACAAAACTGTTCATTTAAGTTTGCGAGGCTATGTGGAGGACATTGTTCTTTACATGTATGCTTCCTCGTCTCCGCTTCCTACCTTCACTAACTCGCAGACCAGTTTGATGATGTTCAAATAACCACAGTAACCCACACATGGCATTGGAAGGACCTCATTCAGCTGTGTATTGATATGTTTACGTATACTAATGGAGGGAAACACTGCGAAAAAGAATGAGAAACATTACAACTCACACTAAAAATAATACATTCTTCAGTCTAGAGTTGGGGCAATCATTTGATTAAGTCGATTATGCAACCAAAATTTCTAATAAATACGTTTCCAGTGGTCCATTACTCGGCCACTTAAAAAAAACATTCACGCCCAGCGTGATGCAGCTAAAAAAGGTAATTATGTTACCAAGTCCCACCCATAACCTTCCATAAATTCGCACGTGTAAGAACACATGCAAGTCTTTTTTCTAATGGATTTTCATGTCATCAGATTAGTCGAATAAATAATTATATTGCCCATCTCTACTTGAATAGAGTCACGACCCAAAATTGTTACATATGCATTGAATCACAAGATAGGTTAATAGTTTGCATGCCTATTAGCGAGCATGAAATCCACTCATGAGTTGTCCGTCTGGCGTTTGTGCATCACAGCTGTGGGTGGCTGACAGGGGGAACAAGCGAATTCAAGTGTTCGACGCTGCCACTGGTGAATGGCTGGGAGAGTGGACTTCTTGCTTCACGGACGACGGCCCATATTCCGTCAGGTGAGGCTACATGGCCTGGTCCAGTATTTCTGTGGTCAGAGCACTCGACTCAAATTTGAAATGTAAGTTTAAATCGCAATCAGGAATCAATCCAGCATATCGTGAACTTCACCATTAAGTGAGTTATATCTGATCACCGCTTCTTCAGGATGATGATTTTAGGCACTTACATGACTCGGCAACTGAAAACGTGTGACATGACATCTCAACCATTACATGTCCCTACAGCAGGGAAATGTAATGGTTGAGATGTCCCCTGGTGGCAACCATCCCTGTGCAGCACTGGCCTGCCAGTAGGGGGTTGATATTGCTGTATTGTTGCCAGTTAATTACTTTGCAGACCACAATACCTGCCTACTCTTTTTTTAAATAACATCGCGGGATCTTTCACGTCCACTGTAAAGCAGGCGGCGCATATTTACGGTGAATATACCGGTCATACTAACTACGGTGCCATTGGGGTTCAGACCGCAAACCTCTGCAACAAGCGACAAATGTGCTACTGCTTGGCCATATCGTCACCCTAAGAAGTTAGCGGTGGTCATTCTAGGGAGAGCCCGACCCTTGCCATGAAATGGCTTATGTGACTAATGTCGTGGGTATACTATTGAACACATTTCTCGAGTATAACAATGCATTGGTTGCATCACGTTTTTATGCAAGTGTTTTAGTTGGCACTTGAGGCCACAAACCAGGCAAGCGGACCTTAAGAGTCAAAAAAAACTATACAGCATTAAGAATTGACGCGGACACAGAGGGGGGAGAGAAGTCCTCCCCTTTGCCAACCATGAAATGAATCGCTCGCAGCCATGTTAAGATAAACAAACACTGCCTATGAAAAGGGAGGCACCAAGCATGGAACGCGAGGCCAAACACAATTAGCCCTTTTCCCGTTCCGAGTCATCTGCAAGTTGCAGATTGGGGGCCTCCCCCATTCACCGGTGAATCTCGGAACGCGCAAGCGGCTCGACGTTAATTTTATTTAGAGGCATAGCCCGCAGTTTTTTTTTAAACATTGCACTCAACACGGAAAACTGTAGCAGCACGACCGCACTTTATGATAGCCGGCGCCAAATCGTGCCACACGCCCTCCTGCATGACCTTGTCAGTCTCGGGACCCATAATGTTATTTTAGTTTAGGGCTGCCATCAGAGGTCAGTGCTATCCGATTGCTTATTAGAGCGTGGAGGCAGTGATACTAATAATGTTGGTTCTATGATCCTGCTATCATAATGATATTTTAATTATTTATACCTCCTGCACAGTACATTTCTAGGCACCAGAACAAATAAGTACTTGAGATAATTACTTAGGAAGGAAGTCATGGCAGACCAAATACTATGTTCAAAAACAATGCGATGCAGCCAATTGCAATCTGAAAGTCTTTTCTTTAATTCAGTCTTAAATATATGAATTGGTGGGTGCATTTATTTTCCAGGTAAGATGTTCCACAACTTGGGTGCCAACGATATACCTGCTTGATGCTGTTCCTGATAATTATCAATGCCGATGCTGATTACAATGCCAACAGTGCGCGTCTGTGTACATGTGCGAGACTGACCCAGGTCATGTGTGTGCATCTGTTTACATGTGTTAGATCAGGGGTCTGCAACCTGCAGCTCCAGAGCCATATGTGGCTCTTTAAGGACTACTTCATGATGTTATTGAAGTGCATTGCGGCTCTTGAAATAAGTTGACCAAATTCGAATAAAATGCCTAATTTTGGTTGCCAACCCCCGTGTTAGACTGACCCAGGTCATGTGTGCGCGTGTATGTGCATGTTTTAGACTGACCCAGGATGGGCTGTACCTGGTGGTGGCACAGCTCAACGTGGGGCGGCTGCTGCTGCTGCACATGCCGAGCGTGGGCCTACCGGGCACGTGCCGTGTTGCCGCCTCGCTGCAGATGGGCCCTGAGACGCGGCCACACCTCGTCTCAGTCAGCCCTGCCACGGGAGCCATCTACCTGGCAGAGATCGGTGCTGAACAGGCACAGAAGTTTGTTCCAATCCGGTGACGAATTCTGCCTTTGCGGATTCACTCTGTTCACAAATCCACAAAGTTCCTATTTAGGCTGCAATTTCAGCACAGACTTAACAATGGTTACAGTATGTGGATTTTAAATACGTCTATGGAAAAAGCTCATGAAATTTTGGAGACTGTTATTCATTGGGATGGTGGGTTGTATAAATATTAGGTTTTGCTTGTCCTTGATTTCCTTAAAAAAATATGTATATTGGGAAAGGGAAAGAAACTACCCTACTTTAGTCCGATCTTTTTGTGAATGTTTTTTCCCCTGCACGTTAGGCACACAAAAATTAAGACAAACATTGAGTAAATTCATATTATTTTTATAACTTGGGGGTGCATTTCAAATCGTGGTTACAAAGACCATCAAGTCTCTCTGTAATAAGTGCACAATGCAAGTCTCTTTGGTGCTCAAAAGCCTCGGTAACAAAGCAATGTACACATGGAATGTTAGAGGTAATGTACAAAAGGAAAGTTACGTGATAGTACAATAGGTATGCCAATGAGATAATTTGCATTACTGTCCCTCATATTAATACACATCCTGTATGAGGTTTCCCCTTTTTTTCTGGCAACAAAACAGCTGTGTTAAGGATGTTAAAACACCAAACTGAAACCTTTTACAAGGAATCATGTCTGCATTAACCACAATACTTGTGGTCAGAATGGAAACAAAAAACACTGATAATCAGAGTATAATTCCTTGTAAAAGGTTTCAGTTTGGTGTTTTAACAACTTAACACAGCTGTTTTGTTGCCAGAAAAAGGGGGAAAACCTATTCTCATATTTTGGTACTGGCAAAGGAGGTCCCATTATACATGCTGTATTTAAAGCGCGAGGTGCAGTTACAGATTTCATATACAAGGGTGTCAAAAATAAGCTCTGCTAACTGCATGGCACGTGAACAAGTACAAGTGACATCCGCATCCCACAGCCTTGGAGCCAGGTTTACGCGCCACCCACCCTTGGCTAATCCATGTATTAAAAATTCATTTGTAAGGTGAATTGGAGCTGCAGTACAAATGCAAAGTGTATACATGTTTGTAAAATGTTGCAAAGTAGAATTGTAAAAAACTAAATACTCCATGAAATTTAAATTAAGTTCAATAAAATCTTGAAATTGCTCAACCGAGTGGAATTTCATGCTAGATTTTGAATGTTTGCTGGCTGGATTCAGGTGGGGAGAGCATCAGGATGAGGCAAGGAGAGATTGAGAGGTGGAATAAGGCAAGCGAGGGAGAGCTGTGAGAGAAACCTGCGGAGAGATAGGGGGAGGGAAGCGGGTGAGATGAGGTAGGAGGAACCAGGGGGAGAATTAAGACAATGGAGACAAAGCCAGAAATTGGGATCGACAGATAGACGGGGCAAGGAGAAGGGGAAAAAGAGACCAGGCTATTTCAGGATGAAAAAAAAAATTAAGAGGGAGAGGCACAGGTCACTTGTAAAGGATGTGTGGGTTGCTAGTGTAGTGAGTGACTTCCGAGACGTCGTGTGGAAGGCTTCTTATTTATTCTCACACTTTAAGCACAACACTGGCGATAAATCTGTGTAACGTTCTATGGAGCTACACATAGCCGACCCTTCTACACAACCCCATCGTTGGCGTCCAACTACACTGCTGTCTGACTAGCGCAGCGACGGTGACGATGAGAGCCTTGCAGAAGATCGGCCATGTGGCCGGACGACGAAGAGAGATGATGGCGAGCGGCGACGCAGCCAGGACTCGCAACAGCACCGAATTTCTGGTTCGGACCCCCTTATATACGCCCCGGCGTGGCCAAGCCCCGCCTCCGGCCACACCCCCTTCCAGAACCTTCAAGCAGGCTCCCGGAGCCTCCAACTGACCCCGCCTTTCACCTTTACCCCAGATACGCCCCCCGCATAATTATGCATTATGTAATATACCCATAACCGCGATTACCCCTTCAGGCCGACATCACCACCCCCCCCACCCCCCAATGTTTAAAAGATAAGGCAGAACGATCCACAAAGAAAAGGGAAGGACTCAACCAGCAGCTTAGAAAGGTAAGAGACAAAAAGAGAAACAGAGGGAAAAAAAATTCCAATTCACCTCATACACACACACAATGGAATGTTCTTGTCAACGAAATCTAAAACATTTAGACCGAGTCTTCGATGCCGGTCCATCCATGGGGACAATCTTCGCCTTTACACAAAATGTGGGCTCCACCCAAAAACTCAAAGAAGGCAGTTCCACTCCTGGCTTCACAGGCATCGTGGGCCCAGTCGCAGCCAGCGACTCCTTGCGTTCGGCGAGATCACGGGCCCTGCCGACCTTCAGGGGTTCGGAAGCTTAGAGCGGCACAATACAATCCTCTTGACGCACGCTCTCCATCGGCATATACCCGGCACGTTCTGACACAACAGACACCGGCCGTACACAATTTGGAGATATGTCAGTTTAAGGGAGAATATAAGGCTTCAACCGCGATGGATGAACAAACCAACGGTGACGGCCCACTCGCATACGCACGCACTGCGACCGCTTGACTTCGACCACTTCCACGGGACCTTCCCAATGGCACTTGCGGGCAATGTAACCACGCCCAATCCTCCACAACCCACTGCAAAACATGGTCCCGTCGCCCCGCATTCCTTTCGTTAGCCACCTGTGCTTTGGCAGCGTTTAATTTTGCCGCTTCACGAGCTGCCGAAAACACGTTCTAGAGTAATTTCCAAAGGCGCAGGCAAATTAGATTTTCCCTTTTCAGGGAGAGTGAATCTCCATAGGAGGTTCACTCTCCCTCCCGCACATGAGAAAAAAAAGACGAAAATCCCATAGAAGTGTGAGGAGCCACCCTGAATGCGGCCAACACTCCCGGAACATGCAGATCCCAATCAGTTTGGGCCACACTAACTGCCTGAGCATATATGTCAAGGTCCTATGCAGCCGTTCCACCATCCCATCTGTCTGGGGGTGGTATGGGGACGTTAGAATCTTCCTAGTTCCTAGCGCATCACAAACTTCCCATAGCAGCTTAGAAGACAGATTCCGTCCCTAACCCGTGAGAAGCTGCTCGGGGGCACCTTTATCGAATACGTATTCATGCAAAAACGCCTCGGCAATAGAGGCTGCTGACTGGTTGGGCAGCGGCCAGGCCATAGGACATTGTGAAAAATACTCAACGCCTACCAAGAGAAACTTGTTCCCACTCTGCGTGGCAGGAAAGGGCCCAAGGATGTCGAGCGCAACCAACTCAATAATTCGCGAAACCGAGATAGACTGCAGCAGAGGCTGGGACTTCCTCAGCGGCAGTTTCCTACGTGCAAATTCTGTGCAACCTTGAATTAAGTGGTGCATGTCGCTCGACATCCCCGGCCAATAATAATCGCGTTGCAATGTTAGCAACGTTTTCCATACTCCAAAATGTAACAACTTATCCTCGTGCACCACCCGAGTCAGCTTGCTTCGGGGGGCAGTGGGAACCACAAGGCGATGACGGTGCAACCCATCCTCGTCCAACATCAAAAGACAATCCCCCCTTAGGACTGGTCACGGGCCGTCGGAGGAAGCAGACTCCTTGCGTCCCGCTTCCGCTTGATGCCGCAAGGTCATAAGGTACACGTCTTCCATTTGCAATCTTCCCCACTCGGCACGCGTAAGGTGCAAAACAGTCCCCCGGCGCGACCTCCTCGGCGGGCTCTCCTCCCCCTCAAGTGCCGCCATGACAGTTGTAGGCTTTGCCGCCAGAGGATTACAGCATCCCACGCCGGATGCACACGTACAACCAGTCCCTTGGGGAAAATGGGATAACACGTCCGCGTTACAGTGCCATACTACCCCTTTACGGTATATCACTCGGAACGAGTACTCCTGGAGAATCTGCAGCCAACACGAGAGCTGCCCAGAGGGCATGATCTGTGCAAACCACAAATTCTCTGCCATAAAGATAAGGCCTATACTGTTGGATAAAGTATGCCTTGGACAACAGTTCCCTACGGGTGACACAGTAACACTGTTCAGCAGTGGACAAGATGCGGCTACCATACACAACTACCCTCTCCACTCCGTTATTAACCTGGGACAGGGCAGCTATATGTGTCGCTAGTGTCTGTGTCAAGGACAAACGGTAGGGAGAAATCTGAGTAATCAAGTGGGGGCACGTCAGCCAGGCGTTCACGAAGGTCTATAAACGCAGCCTCTTCCTCCACCCCCCCCAATTGAATGTCTGGTTCTTAACCGTCAAAGCGTCTAGTGACTTAGCCACCGTAGCAAACTGTGGCACAAATCTGCGATAGTACGATGCAAACCCAACAAAACTTCGGACCTCCCCCACGGACTTTGGGGTCGGCCAGTCCCGTATGCATGCAGTTTTTTCGGGGTCCGAGGCTACACCATTTGCACTAACAATGTGACCCAAGTAATGCACGGAGTTCTGCAGCAAATTACATTTAGCGGGCTTCAATTTCAGATTAGCCGATCGCATCCGAACAAGTACAGATCACAGTCGCTGGAGGTATTCCTAAAAAGTGCGGCCAAACACAATGTCATCTATTATTCGATTTAAAGCTTTCGTGACTGCAAGGATTCATCTTCTTTGGTTCTTTCGGTGAAGTCACGTAGAATGAGAATAAAATAATAAATTGATAAAATAAACAATAATATTCTCACGACGTTTCGGCCACAACACAAGCAGCCTTCATTAGGTGAAGGGGACGAGACTGTCTGGAGGACAGCGCTGGAGTGAGAAAGCCACACAAGCCCCTTCACCTGATGAAGGCCACTTGTGTTGTGGCCGAAACGTCGTGAGAATATTAGTGTTATTTTATTTTAGCAATTTATTATTTTATTCTCATTCTACGTGATTTTACCGAAAGAACCAAAGAAGACAATGTCATCTAAATGAGGCAGGAGTCCCACTGCAGTCCAACCAAAACGAGTTCCATAAACCACTGAATGGTGGCCAGGGCGAAGTGCAATCCCGTCGGAAGGCAGTTAAATTGGAAGAGTCCCTGGGGCGTATGGAATGCGGTTTTAGTTTGACGACTCTGAGGGGAAGTTGCCAAAACCCCTGATAAACAAGTCGAGCGTAGAAAAAGAACGTGCACCGGACAAAACGTCCAGGGAGTCGTGCATGCATGGAATCGGTTATGCGTCGGCCACCAAGACCTTATTCAATTTACGAAAGTCTACACGAAACCTAAGACTGCCATCATTTTTTAACAAGCACTACAGGCGATCCCCAAGGGCTGGTAGGAGA